TTTGAACATCAATTGCGACCTGTATGGTCATGATGATTTCGTCTCGTTGCTGCCCAGGGTCATCCGTGGGAACCCGCACGCAATGTCAGAGCCTATCGATATCCTGGTTGCTGGAGCAGACGACAAGTATTCTAGCGACACCAGTCACGTCGCAGCTTTCTTCCATCTACCTAATGTGCGCTCTATAAACGGATGGAAGCACGGCGACAGCGAAGTCCACGATGAGAACGCCCTGTTCTCGAAACTGGAGCCACGATCGTGCCCAGTAGAGTATCTGGAATTGCGATGCGCGAAGCTGGACATGGAGAATTTCCAAGGCATGTTGAACGCGACGATACCCGGAAGACTCAAGACCTTCAACTACGAGCTTGGAGGCCCGTGGGCGTGGTGCGACACAGCGCATCCGGCAATGATGCGAAGCCTGGAGCCACATCACGAGACGCTGGAAACGCTGGGGCTAAGCCACGAAGACTTCTACCCTTACATTGACGACGAAAGTGCCGAGCGTGGGAAGGCTTACCCGTGTTCTTTCTCTTCTTTCACGGCTCTGAAGCGCCTCAAAGTCGCCCCGGTGTACATATGGGGCCACCGCAAGACTACTGACGAGGAGATGTTCAACACCGCCGACACGAGAGATAGACTTTGGACCACTCTGCCCAAGAGGCTTCAAGAACTCTGGATAACACGAGCCCAGAATCAGCATATAGACCACAAAAAGGTTGTCGACTTTGTCCCGAAGTGCTTACTCCCAGCACTCGATCTAGTGGTGCAGAACAAGCGGACAGCCTTTCCCCAGCTCGCGCACCTGCGTATCGAACTTCCGCTCCTGGACTGGAACAACGATTGGCTGGATAGCCTGGCATCGATCAGCCGAGCCGCTGCCGCCGAGGGGATCCAGACATCCATCATCTTGTACAACATGTTCGACAGATACGGGCCTATAAGCTCGGAGCGAGATTGGGGCTGGAACGAAGACATCAACTGGGAGCCATCGCGCTACAGCGACAATAAAGAATGCCCAAAGATATGGATCGAGGTAACGCCGCAGCGACAGGAACATCTCGCCTCCATACTTAAAGACATGAAGACCCGGTTCCAAGAAGAGAATGAGCGATACACAGAAGCGAGAGCTAGAATTAATGAGCTGGGCGCGCTGTGCACGGATTGTCAACTCAGTGGAGAGTACGATTCCAGCAAAGGCATCGGTCTACCTGAACGCTTCGTGGACGAGAGGTTGGGACAGGAACCGTATTGGAGAGGAAGAGGCGGTAAACCTGAGGTGGTGACATGATGCCAATCATGACGCCACGATTGATACACGTCGTATCGCCGTATCGCATCTCAAGGTTCTACGGAACGATGGAAACACTGGCGATTTCATGAAGAGCGAGCAAATCAAACCGTGGCATAATTAATGTAAGCCCTAAAGTTAGTCAGCCGAGATGTGACCGAGGAAGGACCCTGCAGGAAAGGTAGCGGTGAATGTTTGCATCGCAGTGGTCGTTACGCCAAGAAATTCCGCGTCTTCATGTATGCTTTGAAGTATATTCATCGCATCTTGCGTGTGGTAGTAGTCGTTAGCACTATTCGTAGGTTAGTGAATGCATGTGTACATGACGTAACATCAGATGGCTACTAGCAACAGCACTAACATATTCCAGTAAGACGCGACCAAAGGTCTCAAACGGCACTCCGAGGCTCGCATGCTGTGCGCATCATCTTCAGCTATCAACCCGAGCAAGCGACATCCATGTAGCACGAATAAAGCGCTGGCGATCAAGTCCTCAAATACCCCAACTCGCCGCAGTAACGACGACGATGACGAAAGACATTTCGTTTCAACCCGATATTCCAGAACTGCATGTGCGTATCAGGCGAGAAACCATTACGACGAACCAAACCTTGGCTTCGCGGACGGAAAGAATGTTTGATCAGGATGCATGACACGCAGAAGAGAAGCACCGGGTTGAGGGGCAGTAAAGACAGAAGAATGAAGATGTTCAGTTCGCCCAGCTGCTATTCAGCCTATATTACCCAGGTTAGCGACGAGCTCGTACGACGACGGGCCGAAGGAAAGAGAGAGGGGGATCAACACTCATGTACATGCGTACGTGGTGATATACCATGCGATACGAAATACGTCGGGAGAAGCGGAATACAGTAAGCAGTAACAAACGTTGTACGTAGGTCGTTGTACGACAGGTAGGTCGGTGAATATAAATACATGCACCACCACTACCGCGACCCCCATCGCCATCTCATCCCAAAAACTCCACACCTATCCGTACAAGCCGCCCATCCCGAACCGACCATGAAGTTCACCGCCATCCTAACCGCCCTGTGCGCAAGCACCGCCTTCGCCATCGACATTTTCCAAGCCGACGGCTCCATCAAAGCGATGGCAGAAGGCGATCTGCTACCACGCCAGATCCCAGGGTGCTGCTCCACCAACTTCAATGGGCCTTGTGTTTGCCCACCTGCACCTTGCACTAGCTGTGGTGTACGTATTTCCTACTCGACTCAAGATGAAGGAGACGAAGAAGAAGACGGAACTAGAGAGCCCTGGAGGGGATGAATGAGAGCGATACGTCGGGTTGATCATGGGACGCTTTGCTAACGTGTCTGGGTGTAGCTTGAGTGCTGCGGTTTTTAGAGAGGTGCGATAGTCCGCCATGACCGGGCACTTCTGGAAAGGAGGGATTCTTCGAGAAGAGACGTATGAGATGACTGCCAAAGGGGGAAGAGAGGCAAAGACATGACGATAGAGAGAGAAAGGACACCGAGGGGGTGATAGCCTTATGTCAGCATGGAATTGGACATCTGCGCTGATGACTACTTTAGGTAGCGTGCAAGTACAGATCTCAACATTTCAAAGTTCATGAGTGCCACGAAGCTTGAAGGAAACAGCTACCAGAAGCAATAATGGCTGACACGGACAGGACTACGACAGACATGGCTTCTCGTATCACTGCCCACTGACCACCAACCCAGACCACCTTGGGCCACAGCTTCGGTTAAATTTAGGAACTGTTTTCCAGCCTTGTATTTCCCAGTTACCAGGTCCGACAATACACACACATGGCAGTGGATTTTGCAAACCACCACCACCTCCACCATCAACCCCAACAACAATATCGTCGCACGACACTCCCATTCCACCCCACCGCCCCAACTCACCGCACCGCACCAAAAGTCGCAATGTGATGCCCAGAGGCGCCCAGATGTGAATCAGCCCTCCAGCCTCCTACCTAAATAGTACTACAAATCACAACAAGAACAGATCGAAACCCGAACCATTGGAAAGGTCGAGGTAATACAGTACACCGGAGATGGCGCCATAACACCAATCCATACACCAAACATTCCACCCAGGATAAGACCCTTCAAACTGGTCCTCTACACCTCATGTACAGCCTCGTCACTCGTGCCAGAATTGCGACGTGCAAGGCTAGGTAACTAAGTAGGATCGAGCGACCGAGAAACAACCGTGGAACCACTGTACAGGACAGGGAAGAAAGGCGGTGAATGTTCATGCGACAACCTTGGAAACCACTACCAAAAGCCGTCAAGTGGCGACCAGATACTCGAAACGAGGCTACCAGATACTCGAAACGAGGCTACCAGCTACCATCGTCGACCCAAGCAATCTATCACGACACTAAAACCGCTCTACTCCAACGGCGCAAAACCTTAATACCGCATGTACAACATCATCGTCACCATGTCCTCCCATCCTCCGCCCACCCAAAACGCTTCCTCCCTCATCACTGTCCTGCATTCCCATGCTCGGGTATGCCGGCGCATCTAACTACCGTTGACAGCTGCAAGTCATTGCCACGGCTCTTGTCCGCGTAACGAATACCTAGGTACCCACAGTAAGCAGTAGAGACAGATGGAGGTGGTGATGTGCGGTTTTGCCCAGGTGCTAGAGCTAGCTATTCAGCCTATATACCTAGGTACAGACTAACCTTGGAAAGCGGACGCGAACGGGCCGAAACGGTGACGGTGGTGTGCGGAAATGGGCCGGCTTGTACGTGGGAAGTGGGTGGGTGGTGAGGTGAGGTGATGGGAAGGGAAGCTGGAGGTGCGCAAGGTACCCGTGGACGTGTGTGGTGTTGAGGTAGAGGGAAGGTGGAGATGTTTGGGAACACATGTAGTATACATGCTTATTTCCACACCACCAACCACATCCCCACATCCCCAATCCAATCAACAATAGGTAACCCACCACATTCACCCACCACCCAACATGCATCTCACAGCCCTCCTCACCGCCCTCTGCGCGAGCACCGCGTTCGCAAAGCACATCCCCCAACTCGACGGCTCTGTCAAGATTGTACCAGGTACACAGCTTGATGCGCGCCAGTTTATCCCGGATTGCTGTTCCAAAAACTTTGCTCCGCCTTGTGGGTGTGGGAGAGCGTATGAGTATGCTTGTGGTGTATATTTTGTTGTGAAATGAATGAAATGATGGATTGGGTGTAGTCTTCTTGCTGTAATCTTTGAGGAAGGAGAGAAAGGGTGGGAAGAAGTATATTGGGGTTGTGTATGATATCTTATGGGCAGAAACTTGGGATATGTTTGTAATCTATCCGCCTTGGCCTGAAAGAACGAATTCGAAAAGTTCAATATCGACGTCTGCTTTCCATAACCATCTTCACTGGATACCTAGTTCAACACCCCGTAGCTAGCTGTGATCCACATCCACATACACTAACACTAACAACCACAACAACAACAACAACAACAGCAACAACGACAAAGCCACCAGCGGCCACCTCCGACCCCATCCCCTCACCGCAGTATCACTTCATTCATGGTGTGATGCCCAGTACCGCCTAGATGTGATCCAGCCTCTAGGCTGCAAACCACGCGCCAACGGGCCGAAATGCAAGGGGTTCGTCTCCACAGAATGCGTACGCAGTGTCTGTGATGCAACGGACGAAAAACAAACGAGTCTGGATCAGTGGAGATGGTGGAGATGGTGGAGATGTGGATAGATGAATGTACGTGTTGGGTAGGATGGACGGCCGGGGTAGGAGATGGGGGATGAGCTGTGTGGGTATAAGTAGCTGGGTATAGCACGACCACGACCACCCTCCTATCCAGACAGACAATAACAATACGTTTACCTACAACTACGACCTCCTTATCTCAACAACCATGAAGCTCACCGCCCTCCTCACCGTCCTCTGCGCGTCCACCACGCTCGCCGCCACGAACTACGTCCTCCAAGTCGACGGCAGCATCAAAGCCTTCGACGTCGTGGGAGGCGACCTACAAGCTCGTCAGCAGTTCGAGAGCTGCTGCGCGACCAAATTTGTGCCGCCGTGCGGCTGTGGTACCGACTGTCCTAGCTGCGGTGTAAGTACCCTACCTACTCTAGAGAAGAAGAAGAAGGACATTGCTAACAGTGCCGTGTAGGTCAGTTGCTGCGGAGTATGATTTCACTGAGACAGACTGCATTGGGGGAGAGGGCTTGAAGGGAGAGAGTAATTGGGAAAGAGGGAATGCATAATGTTACATATGTTTATTGTTTATGCCAATTTGAAGGAGGTGCAACGGTCTTCCCACGTTGCCCAGAGATGAAAACGCCAGTATACGTGAAAACATGTGCCAACGCCGTCGCTATGCAGTTAAGAAACAAACAACATCTACTCTCTCTCAATTCCTTCCATCCCATCCATGGCACTGCGATGACGCAGATCGACACGAGCCACTCATGACTCCCGAAATAACATAACCACCACGTACGCAAAAGGTACTCCACATCAAATGAGAGAGATTGCAAGCCTCAGACTCGTCTACTTTCTCATTCCGGAGAAGTCTTTCAGGATGCCAATCATGTGGGTATTGGTCTGCTTGCCACCACGACGAGGACCCTTCTTCTTCTTGTTGGTAGGGGCGGCAACGATAACCTTGGCTTGCGTGGCGGCGGTCAGCTTGTTGGCTAGGAGGGCCTTGCGCAGCTCATCCGGGTTATCGGGGACCTGGACCGAGTGCCAGGCCTTTGCAAAGACAGGGTCCATGGGCAGCATGAGCGAAGGGTCGTTGCCCCAGACAGTCTTTGGCACGCCGTCCTTGGCGCGTCGCACAAGCACCTCCTTCTTGTTCTCCATCTTGGTGATGTCGTCGGCGACGGTGGACCAGCCGTCTTTCAGGTCTTTGATCTGCAGTCCCATGGCCGACTTCTGCGTCTGGAAATGGCCTTTGAGCTGCGCGCGGTCGTGGATGCTGAGCTTGCTCTTGTACTTGTACCGCTCGTTCGCAGAGTCCCAGCTGATCCGGTTGCCGGCGTTGTCGGCGCGCATCAGCTGGCGCAGCTGTTCGCGCTGGATGTGGCCTGGCGGGATGTTGAGGTATTCCATGATGTCGTCGAAGGTGTGCCATTTTTCTTTGCGCTCGCGCAGGAAGTCGTTGACGTAGGTGAGGCGGGTGAAGACGTGCTCGCCGGTGCCTGTGTCCTGCGGCTGCGAGTAGACTACGGGGGGCGCTCCATCGGTTGGACGCTTGCGCTTGCCGCTGGCGGAGGAGCTCGAGGGTGTGGGTGAGGGGGCATTCATGCCTGTGGCCGAGTTCGCCTTGAGGAAGGACATGGTGGTTGTAGTGGTAGTGGTAGAAGTTGAAGATGCGGTCGGGGGTGGCTGTTGCCTGGTCGAGGATACCTGCTGTCGGCAGTCGAGTGTGCAGCTTCTAGCTAAAGAGTCGCACGGCAGACAACGGGGAAGGTCCGGTAGTAGTGAGCGTGGATGCGCGGAAGGTGCGGCGGGTGAAGGTGCAGGTAGTGAATGGAAGTCGTCAAGTGAAGGCGTCGGAGAAAGACGCATATGTGCTATGACCTCAAGCCTGGGAGGCAGCCGCGCTAGTGGTTGGCCCCTGCGCGACCGTCGTCAAACAACTGAACTCGCGACTTTGACCGCGGACCCGTTCATTGTTCGCGTCAACACCACCGCCCTCCTTTGTCTCTTTTCTCCCCGGGACCCACTCGACCGACCCGGAGAATGGTTCGAGGCCTGCAATAAACTAATACACCATCATGGCGGCAACCGTCGACGTCGGCTACCTGGCCGCGTCCTATTCCGTCCCAGAGACGACCCTACAGTCATTACTATCCGAGCCCACCGTCGAGCTCGTCCAGACGCTCCTCACCCAGATCGAAGCGAAGGCGCGCGCATACGATGACCTCCAATCGGAGAAGATCCGCACCGATGTCGAGCTCGAAGCCGCCATCCAGGGCGGAGAGCAGCGCGCGCGCACCCTAAAGGCCACGGCAGAGAAGGCGCAGAAGGAGGCCGAGGAATTGAAGAAGAAGCTAGTCCAAGAGGGTACGAGATGCATAAGGTGTGCATATTCAATTGATACTGACGCGTTTATAGAGAATGCACGGCAAGAGGCAGAGTCGGCGCTGCACAACCTGCGCGCCACGGCCACCAGCTCGACGTCTGAGACGCAGGCGCTGGAGTCGCGCATCAAGACGCTCGAGTCCCAGAACCGCGACCTCATGGCCATGCACGAGACCAAGACGACCGCACACGACCGCCTCGCCAAGGAGCTCACCGAGCAACACCAGAAGTCCGTCGAGCTGCGCAAGCAGGTATCGACGCTCGAGGAGAAGACGCAGTCGCTCGAGAGCGCCGCCACCAATGTCAAGTTCCGCGAGGCCAACCTGCAGCAGGAGATCGAGCAGCTCCGCAGCAACAACGACTGGTACACGACCGAGCTCAAGACGCGCGCAGACGACCACAGCAAGTACCGGAAGGAGAAGAACGCCCAGATTGCCCAACTCCAGCGCGAGAACGCCGACGCTGCCGAGACCATCGACACCCTCAACCGCTCCGAGACGCTGTTGCGACAACACATTGAGGAGCTCAAGGGCAAGGCCGAGGAGGACCGCCTGCGCATCGAGGAGCTCGAGAATGCAGCGTCAGCCGCCGAGGCCCACTTCCACATCGAGCTCGACAGCGCGCGCCGCCTGTCGACGCTGCACCAGCAGAACAACGAGATGACCAAGAAACGCTTGGAGCAGTTGCAGGCAGACAGCAGTCGCGTACAAGAGGAAGCCGCGACCGAGATTGGTCAGCTCATGGCCGAAGTCGAGGCGGAACGCGAGAGGGCTGCCGAGGCCGATGCGCGCACCGCTGAGCTGGAGACGCTCGTCGAGACCCTCAAGAGCGACAACTCCGAGCTTCGAAGCTCCGTCCGCGTACCCGGAACACCGCGACACGGCATGAGCATGAACGGGGGCTTCAGCACGCCCGGCCGAGCTGGTTCGCCTGCTGTCGTCTTCTCCCCTGGCGGCTCGCAGCTCAAGACCGATGCCTCCAAGACTCAGCTACTGATCGAGAACAACGACCTCAAGAAAGAGCTTCGCAAGGTCCGGGAGAAATTGGAAGAGAACACCGGCGTCCTCAACGACATGCTGCAGGAGTTGGAGCGTCATCAACCCGAATTCGACGAACTCCGCCGCCAGAACGATGCCTTGAACGAGCAGAACAACGAAATTAGCGCGCTTCTCGAAGAAGCCATTGCCGAACGCGAGGCAGCACAGCGCGACTCGCGCAAGGCCCTGGGTGACTTGGAAGGCGTACACAACGAATCCGCTCTACTGCGTCGCCAGGTACAGGACATGACGATCCAGCTGCGGACATTGTTATGGCGTCGCCAGGTTGAAGAGCAGGGTCTGGGCAGCCTCACAGAGGAACAGCAGGAGTTCATCGTCAACGCTGTCGAGAACAACCAAGTACCGGACAAGCACGTACCAGACGATTCGCCTACACACCAGATGATCACGAAGCACTTGATCCTCTACAAGGATATTGCTACCCTCCAGCAACAGAACGCCGAATTGACGCGCACACTACGACAAGTGGGCGACGAACAAGAAAGGCAAGAGGTTCGCATGAAGTCTGAGCAATACCAACAAGACGTCGAAGAGCTCGGCCGTCTACGCTCCGTGGTCGCCGAGAAAGAAGAAGAGATCAAGTCTCTCAACGTTCGTTCGCAGACCCTCAAGACTGAGCGCGATATGTACAGCCGCATAGTTGGCGGTCGGGGCCAGTTGCCATCTCACTCGCAGTCGACATCTGCGTTCGCACAGTCAGTGCCTGCAGGCGGAGCTCCCTTGCTTCTCGAGAACGGCTCTTCATCCCGCGAGATCCCAGAGTACAGCAAGCTTATCAAGGACCTTCAATCACACATTGACCTGCTCAAAGAGGAGAGTGCCACGGACCGCACTACACTCAAGGCGCAGGTTGATAGCCTGACCAAGGACAACTCGCAACTCCAGAGCGACAAACTCCGTTTCGAATCGCAGGTGCGTCGAGAGCAGGACCGTTACGCTCGTCTTGAGGGCAGCATCAAACTGCTTCAATCCGAAAAGGACTCCCTCCAGGAACGCTACAACAAGGTCCAAGCCACCATGGCCCAACAGGACGACAGGCTTGTCAAGGCCACCCAGAACGCTGCGGAAGCTGAGGCACGTCTTCAGAGCTTGCAGGGCGAGATGGTGCAGCTGAAGGCATCTCGGGAAATGTCCGCGACCATCGAAGCACGTCTCAAGGAAAGGAACCAGGAGTTGATGACCGAGCGCGATCGGTTGAGCAACATGGTGTCTTCGATTCAGAGTCTGCGCAACGAAGCTGAGTTGGCCACCGCGGAAAGCCGTCGCGAGTTGCAGAACACGGTGGACAAGCTTCGGACAGATTTGCAGAGCGCTGAAAGCAAGCTGGAAGACGAAATCGCCGAGCACAAGAGGGCCACCCAGCAACGAGACTACGAGCGAACCGAAACGCAACGACGAATCGACGACCTCATCGCAGCACGTAACAGTGCTGAAGTCAAGTCTGCGACCGCTGAAACGACACGCCACCAGTTGGAGCAACGCCTCAAGGAGCTCCAGAACCAACTCCAGTCATCCGAGGAGCGCATACAGGCTCTTCAACCACGATCGCAGGCCAACGATGAACAAGATCCTGTCAGCCGCGAGGAAGAGCTGGCGGAGCAGGTTTCGGATCTTAAGCGCAAGATCGAGCGCAAGGAAGAGGATCTGGAGGCCGTCACAGCCCAGATTGCAGGCTTCCAGGATATCGCTCAGGACGCCGAGAACCGATTGCAGACTTTCGTCGAGGCCCACGAACGACTCCAGGAGCAACTCAACCTTGCACAAGAAGAGAAGGATGCTACTATCCGCGATCTGCAACAGCGCGTGGAAGATATATCTTCTGAGCTCGCTACAAGCAGCACTGAACTTACCGAACTGCGAGGAAAGCATGAGCAAGACACGTTGGTCCTCAGACAAGAGAAGGAAACCTTGGAAGCAGAGATCACCCGACTCAACAATGATGTAGCCGACTACAAGGCTGAGGCCGAGAACCAGATGCAATACGTCAAGACCCAAGCCGACATCGCCGAGCGCGCCCAGAAGG